TTGATTATAAAATATAAAAATAGAGAGTTCTAACTATATAATTTTTGGTACCCAGGTTTTTATATAGGTAGTAAAGATTTTTTATAGAATATAGGCTTCTTGAGCGATCTAAAAAGCAAAATGAATAAAATGTACCAAAAAAGTGTCCCAGAACTCCCTTTTTCACCCTACTCCAATATCGATTACTATCGATTTTTCTAATCAATAGCAATCGCTCCTGTAGCTGGTAATCGATATTCATCCTATTTAAAAATTTTCTGATGTAGTTGTTGTAATATCTTCGCTCAAAGTTTTAAAAATTCTTATTTTTTACTGAAATCTGCACAACGATCAGTATCAAGAAAGAGGTGCAGGAGTATTAAAGAATGGTTTGCATTAGAGACATTAAGCTTAGTGGTTTTTAGTAGCATTATATGAATTTGCATTGTCTATAGATTCAGCACTGAATAATTGCACCAAGTCTATTAACAATTCTTAGCAACAGTTTATAATACTAAAATCACCAACCTTAATATCTCCAACTAACTACTCATATAAATTTAACTGTCCCTAAGAATTGCCCATAAAACTGTTTTTTGCAACTTCTACAGGGAGATCTCCAAAATTCTGGATCAGAAGCTTCAGAACTCTGGTCAAAAGGCTGAAGTTGATCAATTTTGCCCCAAGATCACTAAGAATTTTACTAATGAAACAATAGTCATTCATTAAGTGAAAAGTGTCTAGCTGATAATTTTACTATAGCCTATAGTTCCTGCTAACCCTAACCTGACCCTAACTACAATGCATTCTGGCCATTATGATCTGAAAATTTGGGGATCTCTTTATAAAAAATATTTAGTGTAAGGCACATGACACATGATATTGTCTCTGATTTTGTAAATTAGTCAAGTACTGTAATGGAATTTAAACACAATGAATATTAATAATAAAAAATCAAGTAATGCTATGTTAAAGCCTATGCAGATGAATATGAAAATCCAAAGTAAACCTCAGAATTCATACTATAAAGAAATTGAAAGAAAAATAGTATGAGTAAATTTAAATGAAAATGGAGATAAGCAGCATTCAAATATTTTCAAAAATCTAATATGTATCATCTTACTAGAAAAAAAATATAAATAATTCTTTTTTTACACCTTAAGCCTCTCTTATTATAACAAGTTTTTCTCTTGCTTGAATTTCATATTATAGAATAGATGGAATGTAATTAAACTTTGTAAATTATAAAAGAACAAAGAAATCATATAAATAAAAAATCTTTGTATTCAGATTTCAAATAACCCAAATAAAATCTTACTTATATTGATATTCTACAAAAACCTCTTGTATTTATCAATTAATAAAGTCTATTCTACAAAAACCTCTTGTATTTATTGATTAATAAAAGTCTATTCTACAAAAACCTCTTGTATTTATCAATTAATTTAGTAGAATTTATTATCGTCTGATACAAATTATTAATGCATTACAAAAACTTATACAAATTCAAGTATGTATTGAAATACAATTGTAATTTGTAACATTTATATGTTTTCTAAAAACTAATAATGATCATGATATTTATCAAACATGCAGTTAGCAATCGTCAGCCACATTTGATATCTAAAAGAAGTTAGTCATATATATACAGTAGGCAGCAAAGTAACATCTGATCTGCAAATCAATGTACATGAGTAAATACAGGAGCTTGATCTGCCTCAAAATTATTAATTTTGGGGCAATTTTTTTTGTTTTTTTGCTTCTTTAATATCAAACTACAAAGCCAAAAAAAAAAATATGTCATGCACCCAGATAACAGATATAAAAAAGGGCAAAATACTTGCTTTTATTGAAAATATGAGTGCAGAGCAAGTTGCCCCAAAATTGGCCATGACCCAATGATGGTTTGAAGGTTTCTAAAGAAGCACAAGGAGACAAAAAATATTAAGAACTTATCTCACTCTGGATATCACCCGTTCTTAAAAAGAAGAAAAGAAAGCAATACTAAAAAAAGTGTTGAAAGAGAGACACAAGCCTCTGTACAGCATTGTCAAGAATTTAAATCTACACTGCAGCCAGAGAACCATAGTCAGAGCCTTACACAGCTTTAGAGTATATTCACATATTGCTGTGATAAAACCTTTTTTGACTGAGAGCAACATAAATAGATGGAAAGATTGGTGCAAAAAAAATTTACACAAAAACCCTATATGAGTAATGGCATGTTATTTTTTCTAATGAAATAAGCATTAAAGTGGGTAAACAATCTCGTCAGGTTCAAGTGTAGCTGTATATAAATGAACAGTATAAATATGAGTGTTTGGTGCCAAATTTTAGAAGTGGTATCTTTTTCTGATTATAAGAATTCCAAACAAAAAAAAATTATACTAAGGTTCTCAAGAACAATTCCATGCTATTTATTGCCAATATACATTTGTTAGTTGGGTCAAATCTAATATTTTAGCATAACAATGCCTCTATATATAAAGTAACAAAGTAGCTTAATTCAAAAAAATCAATTATATGACTTGGCTAATATGATTTCCTAACCTAAACCCAATTAAGAACCACTGGAAGGTTGTTAGAGATAATATTCAAAGTTAGAAAAACTTTTCTAAAGATGCAGATTAACTCAAAATAGCCATTAAAGAGGTGTAGTCAAACTTGGATATGTCAGTTCTTTGGGCTTTTGTGGAGTCAGTATTGTGAAAGATCAAAGAAGTAGCTAGTATAAAGGGCTGTTTATTTAGATATTAGATAGAATAAAAAAAACTTTATATAGTAAAGCAAAAAATTTTTAAATAAATTTTTTTTATTTTAATAAAAATTTAGATTTTATTTTTGCTACCTACTGTACTTAGCCAAACTATGCACAAATATGAAGTAGAATAATAAATAAACTTCTAAGGAATATAGCAAATGCCACCTGTAATAACTAATCTACTTTTCCTTAACCCTGGTTGTCATTTTATGTTAAATACTGTTGTGTTGTAATATTTTATTCACTTACAGTATATACAAGTTCATTATCAAAACTAAATCTAGCATATTGTGATACACTTCCAATAATAATAATATCAAAAGGCATAACTATATTGAACTTTGTTTAGGTTTCTTAAACTCTGTCATATTTTAAGCTTCTTTTATTATAGAGATTAAACATCAAGAAAGAATTTATTGCTCTTTTTGATTTAGTTTAATTGATGATCTGTATAATTTTATTGAGTTCTGAGATTACAATGTGGATATTACTTCACCTTTGTTATAATAAATTTCAAAAAAATATAACAAACATAAAATAGTTATTTATTTTGTATTTATGGACTTACAGAACTTAAAAAACATTATACAGATCATCAATTTAACTAATTTGAAAATAGTGATAAAGCTATAATGTTTTATATAAGATGTCTTGTGATTAATAATAAATAAAATCTTTTTAAAGTATTTTATTAAATATTGATAATGATAAGAATCAGCAACTTAAAACTAATTGTATTAAATAGATGCAGACTTGTAAGTGTTTTTATTGTGCCTCAATCAAAAACTATATAGTTTGTTGATAACCAGTAGAAGATAAAATATTGGTCTATGAATAGTTTTATTTAATAAGTAGCTGTAGTTTTTATTAGTAGAATTTGCATAATTTTGGTTTAGCTATATCATGATAGTTTGTTCATATAATCAACTATATTCTTATATTAATACATATGCATCAAAAAATTAAAATTTATGTAATATAAATATACATATGAAAAATTGTATATAGAAGTTAACTAGCTAATCAAAATATCTGGCAAATCAAATTATATAATAATTCACATTTTATGTATGATGTAGTACTGGTTATTTTAAAATAAAATAGAATATATTTATATATAAAAGATATATATATTATATATATTGATATGTAAATATAAAATGAAGTAATTTATAAAAAATAAACAGTTCTAATAAATAAGGTTATATATGCTAATTAGATCTAAGATTATGTAGATTAAAACTATTTCAAAATCATACACTCATGTATTTATTTTGGTATTTCTAAATTATATTAGATCTAATTTAATAATACTAACTTAATATAAAGTTGTTTTTTTTAAAAATTTGAAAAACTTCACAATTAACTATAGAAAAATATTCACTACTTTCTCTAATTGGTTTCTCATAGCTAACCTTTCTACATCTACTTTTTTTTTACTACAAATTTTTAAATCATTTTTTCCAAAAGATAGACCTGTATATTTATATTATCTAATTGCATTCTTTGTATCAATTACTTTACTAACTATTGAATTATTTAAATTTTGAAGATTTAATGAAAATATAAAACTTGTTGAAGATGAATAATAAATATTTTTAGAAGTTTCTTTATACCAATTAATAGGATTATATCCACCAAGTATTTCATTAGTATCCTTTACTTGTACAATTACTAATGTTGGACCTTTATTATCACATTGATCATGAAATTCTTTAGAACAAAAACTTGAAGTATGTTGAATGTATAAAAAGTATTTGGATTTAAATTGCTTAATTCATTAATCCATTTTACTATTAATTTAATATGTTGTTGTCCAATTATATTTGATTGAATAGTAAGTGGTCGTGTAGATATAATTGTATTGGAGATAGAAGTATTGATAGTAGGTATAAATTCCATAGTTGTAGTAGATTTCGATAATATATCTGCAGTTGACTTGACTTTAGTAGATTCTAAATTAATTTCTACAAATATTGGTAATTTATCATCAGATGTAGATATAGGAGGTTCTTGAAATTCATTAAAAGTATATATATTTAAAAGTTGAATATAAAAGTTAGAATCAAAAGCTTGATTAAAGGGATGAACTTTTTGATAAAAATCTTTTTTGCTAATTAATTCAAAATCAATATATTGAATAAAAGATTTAATTAATTTTTTTAAAATTGTAAAATGTTTAGTAGTAGATTGAGAAATATTTAATGGTAAAGAACTAGAATAAGTTGACCATTTAAGAAGTTTTTCCCATAATCTAATTTTAGTAATATTATTAAGACGATTAATATAAAAATAATGAAACTCCTCTTTTTGAAGTGTAATAAAATTATCACTTTTAAAAATATTCACATTTTCTACAATAATTTTTCTCCATAATTCTGATAATTTTGTAAAATTTGATAACCCTTTTCTATTAATAAGAGAAATATATTTCCAAACAAGATCTTTCTCTTCAACAATAAGAGTTTCAATATAATTACATAGTTTATTAAGCTGGAGTTCATATGCACCCCATAAAAGAGAAATAATATTTGAAAAATGAATATCAGTGAGGTCAATAGTGCTTCATAAATGTACCTAAATGAAAAAATATTTTTTAACAAACTTTAAAAATTATGTTTATATTTTTAAAAAATTGATATTTCTATATTCTATTACAAATTATAGCTATTTTAAAATTAATTTTCGATATCTTAGCACTCAACTAAATTCTATGAAATTTTAAATGTCTATCAAGTAAAGAAATTGATAATGTATTTTTGGTGCTAAACAAGTTTACTTAGAGTATAAATGTAGAATCAATTAGTAAAATCATGAGAAATATAAAGTTTTCTATATTTTTATTAGTAAAAATTTAAAAATTTATGTATTACTCAAGATTTTACTAATAAAATATAACTTATGATCTAAGTAAACATGTTTGGCACTAAATATTACACCAAAACAGCATAGTTTATTCTATTTATTATAAAAATTGAAGAAAAGATGCTTAATTTTGGATTTTTGATCAAAATTTTTATTAAAAATCCAAAATTAAGTATCTTCTCTTCAATTTTTATAAAATGCAATAAACTATGCTATTTTGATGTAAATTTTAGCATTGAACATGTTTACTTAGAACATAAAAGTATATTTTATTAGTAAATATTTATGTAATGTAAGCTTTTCTATATTTTTATTAATAAAAATATAGAAATTCTTGCATAATGCAAATATTTACTAATAAAATATAACATTATGTTCTAAGTAAATGTGTTCACCGCAAAAAATATATCAAAACAGCATGGTTTGTTATATTTTTTAGAAAAATTAAAGAGAATATGCTTAATATTGAATTTTTAATAAAATTATGATTAAAAATCCAAAATTAAGCATTTTATCTTCAATTTTTATATCAAATATGATAAACTATGCCATTTTGATGTAATTATTAGCACTGAACACGTTTACTTAAATCATAAAGTTATATTTTATTAGTAAATATTTGTATGATGCAAGAATTTCTACATTTTTATTAATAAAAATATAAAAACTCTTGCATAATGCAAATATTTACTAATAAAATATAACATTCTGTTCTAAGTAAGCATTTTCAGCGTTAAAATTACATCAAAACAGCATGTTGTATTGTATTTTTTATAAAAATTGAAGAGAAGATGCTTAAATTTTGGATTTTTAATAAAAATTTCGATCAAAAATCCAAAATTAAGTGTCTTCTCTTCAATCTATATAATAAATACGATAAACTATGCCAGTTTAATGTATTATTTTACGCTGAATAATTTTATTTAGAACATAAAAGTATATTTTATTATTAAATATTTGCATAATGTAAGAATTTCTATATTTTTTATTAATAAAAATATAGAAAATCTTACATCACGTAAATATTTACTAATAAACCATAATTTTATGATCTAAGTAAACGTGTTTAACGCTAAATTTACATCAAAATAGCATGGTTTATCGTATTTTTTATAAAAATTGAAGAGAAGATGCTTAATTTTGGATTTTTAATAAAAATTTTGATCAAAAATCCAAAATTAAGCATCTTTTCTTCAATTTTTATAATAAATATGATAAACTATGCCGTTTTGGTGTAAGTTTTAGCGCTGAACACGTTTACTTAGATTATAAAGTTATATTTTATTAGTAAAATATTGAGTAATACAGAGATTTTTAAATTTTTACTAATAAAAATATAAAAATCTTTATATTATTCACGATTTTACTAATTGATTCTATCTTTATGCTCTAATTAAACGTGTTCAGCACCAAAAAATACATTTGTATATTTTCAAACTCAAATTAGTTTGCATCCATGATCGACGTGCACGATGACCGATATGTTACGCACGTAGAAACGCGGTCCATCTAATTGATGAATATAAAATTTGGGTTTACTACTTTTAATTTTCTTGATTTTCGTCAAAATTATATTCATATATTCATTATATGCAGAAAAAACAGTTTACTTACAAGGGCACAAATTGATCTACTGAAAATTCACCTATTATTCATTTGTAAATAAAATTATATCTTTTTTAAATTAGTCATAAATTATGTCAAAGGTAAAAAGATTTTTTTAGGGTATTATTATCAAACTTTTTAACCATACCATATTTTAATTAACTAATGGAAAAAAAAGAAATAAGAATTTAAATTTTTAGTAATACTATAATACACGCAAGAAAAGTTTTTGGCTTATTTTATACCTTTTTATTTTTTAATGTAGTCTTTCTATATAGTACATTACAGCCGCAGTTAACTGGTATCATAACACTCCAAATATTAATATACGCAGCAATATCATTATTAACTATTCAGAGCATAACAGCTGTTTTCATAAATTCTGGGACAACTGATAAAAATTATTTCGGCTGAATTCGATAAGTTTTTTGAATTTGGTGTTATCGGAATTTATCAAATTCAGCTGATCAATTTTTATCAGTTGTCCCAGAATTTATGAAAACAGCTATAATGCTTAGCTAAAGTGGTACAAAAGGTATAGCTTATCGGACTGCCGGGTAAAGCACTAGTACTAGGTCCGAAGTTTGCAAAATGACAGGTCCGGTCTGGTATATTTTTTTATTGTTTAGCTCACATGAAGAGCTAAAAAAATACCAGACCGGACCGGTCATTTTTACAAACTTCAGACCGAACTTCAAACCAGCAAATATATTCGGACTCGAACTAGTTTGCAAACTTCTGAAGTTTGAAGCTAGTAAAATTTAGAGTCTGAGTCTGGTTCGATCCCGGACCAGACCTAGGAGCACTACACTACACTTATAGATGGGTGTCTAAATTATTTTTCCATTGGCGTAAACTTAAATAGCTAAATTATTTTAGATTGCCTAAATCGTAAATAATTCAGGTTGTCGAATATATTTTAGGGTGTCTAAAATATTTAGTATGTCTAAAATATTTTAGTATGTCTAAAATATTTTCGCCAGTTTAAAATATTTGAATAATGAAAATTAAATATTCTTACAGTTTAGTATATTAAAAACCCATTAAATTACATTGCGATAA